AATCCTAGCATAAGTTGAGATAATACCTTCAGATTTGTCAACCCAGTTTCCCCCTGTCCCCTTCATTAGCGTTTAAGATCCCTCGACAGTTGGAAATGGAAAAAGAGTTGGCCCATGCCTCTGCAAAATTTCCCTCACTGCACACTCCATGGTGTTGCCCGTCTTCATTAGCGTTAAAGATCCCTCGACAGTTGGAAATGGAAAAAGAATTGGCTCATGCCTCTAGAAAAATTTCCCACATTGCACACTGGATAAATCTGAAGAAATCATACCTGATTATCGTGTAAAGTATAGATATGTATTTTATGATCGTCGGCACCGCATGCTAATATTGGTACTGAAATAAAATTCAAAAAATCGTAAAATTTTAGGGTGATATAAAAATGTTAAAATAGAACCTGAAACATGTGGCCTACAAAAACAAAAGATGTAACCTGTGTTTAACTGAAAAGCTTTCCATCATTAGGGTCCTCGACGAATGTTCAAGAGGGCCGTCTTTAGACCCTAACTGAAGTGGCTATATTAAAAATAAAAGCTAATAAAAACAGAACGAAAGTTTGGTCTAATTTTAATAAGATTAACTGAAGTGGCTATATTAAAAATAAAAGCTAATAAAAAATGGAACGAAATTTTTCTTTGAATTTTTCTCAGTTCAAATACATCATTATAAAAATTCTTACCCGATGTATCAGGAATAACGGTAAAAACTATATCCAAACTAAAACCACTTCCAAACTTTATCGTTTGTAGCTCTTCAAAATCTGAGGAAGAAAAATGCAAAAGATCATTGTTTGTAATCTTCTAGAAAAACTTTGAACGACAAAATAATATGTAATTGATTCTAATAAAATTTTTTTTATATTTTTGTCTCCATTGTGATCTAACAAGTTTTTTCCAGGTAAGAAAAATTCTGATACCTGTGCCTGTGCTTCCGTGAGACGGCCTGGTGTCGGCTTTCACCTCCTAATACCTAACCCTTATCCTCCTCAAGGTAAGAAAATCTGATGCCTGTGCCAGTGCTTTCGGGAGTCGGCCTGGTGTCGGCTTTCACCTCCTAACCTAACCCTTATCCTAATCGAGGTAAGAAAATCTGATGCCTGCGCAAGTGCTTTCGGGAGTCGGCCTGGTATAAGCTTTCAACCCCTAGTACCTAACCATCATCCTTCTCAAGGTAAGAAAATCTGATGTCTGCACCAGTGTTTTCGGGAGTCGGCCTGGTGTCGGTGTAACCCCCTAATACCTAACCATTATCCTTCTTGAGGTAAGAAAATCTAATGCCTGCGCCAGTGCTTTTGGGAGTCAGCCCAGTGTCGTGTTTTGCTATAAATATCTAATCACAAACCATTAGAACACTGCTGCCGCCAAATTTTGACTGTAGAATCTGTTGAAGAGGAAGCTATATATGTAACTTCCGCACTTGAATTAGAGTTAATGTGTAGACCACATACAGCATTTACTGAGAGGGTATGCCCCTTTAAACAGGCCTTCTCTACATACTAAAATGATACAGAAAATATACAGCATTTACTGAGAGGGTGTGCCCCTTTAAACAGACCTCTACATACTAAAATGATATAGAAAATATACAGCATTTACTGAGAGGGTATGCCCCTTTAAACAGGCCTTCTCTACATACTAAAATGATACAGAAAATATACAGCATTTACTGAGAGGGTATGCCCCTTTAAACAGGCCTTCTCTACATACTAAAATGATACAGAAAATATACAGCATTTACTGAGAGGGTATGCCCCTTTAAACAGGCCTTCTCTACATACTTAAATGATACAGAAAATATACAGCATTTACTGAGAGGGTATGCCCCTTTAAACAGGCCTTCTCTACATACTTAAATGATACAGAAAATATACAGCATTTACTGAGAGGGTGTGCCCCTTTAAACAGGCCTTCTTGACAAACTAAAATGGTACAGAAAAATTCAATATTTTTCATTAAGAACACTTTTTTTTTGACAGTGTAATAGTTCAATTCTTTGAGAGTTGGATTGTTGTCTGCTAGGTGATTAGACGCCATGGGTTCGAATCCTCTTCAAGGTAAGAGAAACTCTGATACAAATAGTTTGTAAAGGTGTGGGGCACACAATCAGTCTTTGTCAGAGATTTTTTGTCGACGATTATAAAATCTTGTGTGTGCCCTTCCATGACAAGATTATCGCATCCCCGACAGGATTTATAATATCAAACAAGTTTGATATTTGTCTCCGATAGTTTTATCATCTGTAAGACAGACTGTCATCATCCAATCAGATTCATTTTCCTTTCAATTACATGATCTGCACATGATTATCAACATGGTGGAAAACGACCGACTGGAGATTTTTTGGTCTCCTCATGTGCCTGCAGTCAGTTGGTGAAACTTTTGACAAGACTCTAGGCGGCAACAAATATCGCCGACCAAGACTGTACCTGAGTCCCCACCTTTAGTCATACCTGTCCATTCTGTTTCGACCAAACTCTGACAGTTTTATCAACAGACCCTGATACGATCTCATTTTCATTATCTGTAATATAAACAGAAAATTTATTAGAATTAACTCAATTAGTAGTGAGTTGGATTGTTGGTTTTAAAGATGGGTTTCCTAATTTTTTAATGTCAAATTAAGGCTTGCAGATAATCAAAATACTAAATTAATATAATAACTATGTGGACTCTCTGAATGGATTGCTGAGTTGACAAATCTAGTCGCACGGCTGCAAAATCTGACACATTGTAGTCGAGCTTGATTTCAATAAAGTTTTCAGATGCGCCATTTTTTTTCTCCCTTCGTACCTTAGTGTCAAGAAAAGACGAGTCGTCATTTTAACTTTCAAACGTTGATAATTCTGAACACACATGGATATGAAGGCTCAAATTTCGACAGTGAGCTGTGAACACTATTACTGATTAGCTTAGCTAAAAAATTCCTGTTTCTGAGTCTAAGGTATGATTGGTCAAGAAATGGCGACTCTGTCCCTTTAATAAGATTACTAGATTTAACACTTACGCCATACAAGGGGCAATGAGGGAAATTTTGTCAGGACAAAAAATAAATAGATCACTCACTATGACTGGAGTTTTGAATCCACTGAACACAATTAACTCTATCAGTATGACCTGGTATAGATTCTAATATTTCACATGGCTTATTATCTCCTCCCTATAAAATACAAAATAAACAGAAATTCTTTTTAGAAAAAATGTACCTTTTACACCAGATGACAATAGCAAAACCAGTGGATTGACAAAAAATTTTCAACTGTATGCCATTTGTCTTAGAATGTTGTCCAGTCCATAGAAATATAAAATTCAGTGATTTAGTATTTAAGATAGACGCACTTCCCTCCCGGAAAATTCACGTGAAAATGATATGACTTTTCGGACTGAAAAGTTCCCTTTGTAAAAACATGTTGGCATTGTTGCAGTTTCGACCCCTTTCCATCCCCATTGAGCTATCGATTTGAAACTTGGCAGAGGGGTACTATATGTGTCCTGAATATTCACAGCAAATTTCAGACAGTTCCAACAGTGCCAAAGTGGTTAACATTTTCATCAACTCAAAGATAATCTAAAACTCTCAGAAGTACTTTGTAATTGATATTTCAATTCATACTAAAATGATTGTCAAGATTCAATTCAGAAAATAGTTTAGTCACTAACTAGCAGACAATTTTAATGATGAAGGCGAAGGCTGATGAAAGACACTGAAATATCTAAATTCTGACGTTGACAGAAAGATGGGGTGGCAAATTTTTACCTCTGGTTGATAAACCAAAACTGAATTACAAGATCCAAAGCAAATCAGATCGTTATAACCCCAATCAGCGGCGTGGCAAGTTTTATTGCAAGCTGTACTGATATAACATGCGTCGATGGCTTCCATCTTGGAAAATATTGGACCTTTTAGAGTTTCCTTGACTGAAAACCAACGAAGGGCGACAACTTTCTTTTTCTGGCCATTTCGCTTGGAAATTCTTTAAAATCATAAAATTTTGTATGTTTCTGCAATTGAATTACAGAATTTAATTGATTAATTATATTTGTATATTGTCAGACGACATTTTTAAGGTCTAAAAACTACTCTTAAGCCAAAATTTCAAGCAATTTTCTTAAATGGAGTTATGCCCCTTGCCTCACATTTGCCACAATGCTTAGAAAAATAAATGGATTTCTGAAACTCAAAGCTGCAAAAATCGGTGAAATTTTATTGAGAAGGTCAACTAAGATGGCTACCAATGGATGTAGAAATGTTTTGGTGGAACCGTTTTATGGAGGTTCCCATAAACAACTCATGGATTTATTGGAAAGAGAAATAGAGAGTTGCCAAATGTTCACGTTGCCTGCCAAAAAATGGCACTGGAAAGCCAGGACTTCAGCTTTATATTTTAGTCAAGTTATACCAGTCTCTTCTGATCACAGGTAAGGATCGACTTAAAGCTATCATGCTTTTATAGAAAGTAAATTTATCTATTTGTTATTTCATTCATTCATTCATTCATTCATTCATTCATTCATTCATTCATTCATTCATTCATTCATTCATTCATTCATTCATTCATTCATTCATTCATTCATTCATTCATTCATTCATTCATTCATTCATTCATTTATTTATTTATTTATTTATTTATTTATTTATTTATTTATTTATTTATTTATTTATTTATTTATTTATTTATTTATTTATTTATTCATTCATTCATTCATTCATTCATTCATTTATTCATTCATTCATCCATTTATTAATTCATTTATTCTTTCATTTATTCATTCATTCAGGTATGTGATGGCTTAATCATGCTTTTATAAAAAGTAAATTTCATTCATTCATTCATTCATTCATTCATTCATTCATTTATCCATTCATTCATTCATTCACATCTTACTTCAGTCGATAACAAAATGTTTCAGTCAATGTTAAGGATGTCGCCCTTAAAACTAACAAAATGTTTCCGAATGGTCTGTCGCATTTTGTTTTTTTAGGACAACATTTCCTTATTCATTTCCTATATATTCGGGATATCGCCCTTAAAACTAACCGACTATTCCGTATAGTGTATCGCATTTTGTTTTTCAGGACGATATTTGCCGAATTGGTGGCATTGCGTTCATCGTTTAATTTTAGGATGTCGCCCATAAAACTAATCGACGATTCACGCATTTTGTTTTTCAGAACGATATTTGCAAGTTCAGTATTAAATTTAGCCGAATTGGTAGCGTTACGTCCAGATATCGCCCGGCTAAATAAAGTCGTGTATGTCCACGAGAATCAGCTCTGTTATCCAGTACGAGTTCAGAAAGATCGAGACTTTCAGTATGGCTACAATCAAATACTAACTTGGTAAGACCTAGACCAAGTTATCCCCCCCCCCCCTCCCTCCCAAAAAATTACTGCAATTAAACACCATACACCATTGCCCCTCTAGATATATTACTCGCCCCTCCGAACAATCAAGTCTGGCTATGGATTTGCATTAAAGAGATTGTAAAGAGGTTTTCTAAATTTTTTATGTGTATCAGAGAGACACTGAGAGCATCAATTTACACCTTTCCAATTTTCAATCAGATGTCTGTGGTTCTTGTTAAAGAGATTGTAAAGAGGTTTTCTATATTTTTTATGTGTATCAGAGACACTAATAGCATCAATTTACACCATTCTAATTTTCAATCAGATGTCTGTGATTCCTGCAATTCCACTTAGAATAAGCGTTTTATGACGTCTCTAATTTTCTATTTTAGCCTGGTAGCTGATGTCGTTGTCTTCAATTCGAATTATAATATGGTGTCGTTTTTATCCGCCATTAATTCTTTTCTTAAAAAAATTCGCGACCATAGACCCAAAAATTTGGAACAAAAAATCCGGCCAAAATGTCGAGTCATCTACTTTCCCTTGGAATTTCCCGATTTGAGGGAAACTGTCGCTGGAAGTAGGCTTATTTCTGGTTTTGAAGACGTTAATACGAATAACGCCCTAGAATCCGATGGGACAGTTGACGTAGCCGCACAATTAGTGTCCGATTGTTCTCTGAATCCTAAAGCCAACAGTTGGATTTCGGGACCTGGAAGTGAAAAAACGGAAATTATAAGCAGCGATGCCACACCAAATAAGGCTATGAGTAAGAAAGCTCTGGGAGAGATTTCAGAATTTGAAAGTGTTCACTTAGGAATTTCAGGCAGCGATGCCACACCAAATAAGGCAATGAGTAAGGAAGACCTTGGAGAGATTTCAGAATTTGAAAATGAACACAAAGAAACTTCAAGCAGGGATAAGGGGACGAGTAAGGAGCTCAAATTTGGTACACCTGTAACGTTTCCAAGACAGCCCAATAGAGTTCTTCATCTAGTATGGGCGCATAGATGGTAAGTCTTTCAACGAAAGCAGGCTTGGGGACGGGCTGTACTTCAGTCGGTTAGAGCGATGCGATCTTTACATGACGTCAGCTATAGGAGTCTTGTAAACTGTAGCACAATCTGTTAGGCAAGACTGAAATGGTAAGTCTACCAACTAATGTAAGCCCTAGAAAAGGGAGGGGGTGTGTAGTACAGTCGGTTAGAGCGATGCGATCTTTACATGACGTCAGCTATAGGAGTTCTGTAAACTGTAGCACAGTCTGTTAGGACGTTGCGTTCTTTACATGACGTCATTTGCTTGGTTATGTTGATACTCGTGAATCTAAGTAGTTATCCTTGTAAAAATGCATAGTTACTAAACGTCCGAACCTCTTTGTAGAATGAAAATCCGATCTTCGTTCGTCTACAATTTAATATTAACTAATTGTGAATAAAACTGTATATTTTCAGGGAACATGATAAAGATCCCGAGACGTTGTTTAAGGTTTTATATGATTTACATGATAATGGGTACCAGTTTAAATTATCAGTTTTAGGAGAAAGATTCACAGAAATTCCTGGTACGATTAGTAGACTCGATCTATTTTTATATGAGTATATTATTTTTTCATATTATGTCTTGGTAGGGGCCTACATATGAGAATGTAGTTTTATGGTCGTCATTGCGAACTTCTGGACAAATATTACAAATCTGTTTCTTGCATCTTGACTGATTTTTTTGGTCGGGTTGTATATCATGATGTTGAGCTAGATAGTAGTGGCGGGTGTCGCGATCAAAGCAGACCATGCTTACTCTTTTCAAAACACCTGATGGTACTTCTCTTTTGAGTCTACTCGTAGGTCCAGATTTGTCGGACTAATGATATAAGTAACAACCAATGCGTGTATCACTCTCAAAAATGGAATTCTAGCACCTTGTTTACCTGTAATTAGGTCAAACGTATTGGAAAGTACCTGTTTGTGCCAGTCAAAATGTCACATGATTAAGAAATTCTGAACCATTAAGCAAGTCGCTTTATGGAAAATTTAGCCAAAGCTGATTAGATAAAATGTGGGTTAGGCTCTTAAGAAATTATTTATTTTTTCAGAAATATTTATGGAAGCTAAAGAGAAACTAAAAGATCATATTTTACATTGGGGATATTTAGATAGTAAACTACGGTACTATCAAGTCTTACAGCAGGCTGATGTTTCGATATCTACAGCTCTTCATGAATTCTACGGCGTAGCTATGTAAGTATTCGGCAATCCTCGGCTGTTTCCGTAAAGCAGCGTGGCTAATGAGTTATCCTGGGCTGTTTCCGTAAAGCAGTGTGGCTAATGGGTAATTCTCGGCTGTTTCCGTAAAGCAGTGTGGCTATTGGGCAATTCTCGGCTGTTTCCGTTAAGCAGTGTGGCTATTGGGCAATTCTCGGCTGTTTCCGTAAAGCAGTGTGGCTATTGGGCAATTCTCGACTGTTTCCGTAAAGCAGCTTGGCTATTGGGCAATTCTCGGCTGTTTCCGTAAAGCAGTGTGGCTATTGGGCAATTCTCGGCTGTTTCCGTTAAGCAGTGTGGCTATTGGGCAATTCTCGGCTGTTTCCGTAAAGCAGTGTGGCTATTGGGCAATTCTCGGCTGTTTCCGTAAAGCAGCTTGGCTATTGGGCAATTCTCGGCTGTTTCCGTAAAGCAGTGTGGCTATTGGGCAATTCTCGACTGTTTCCGTAAAGCAGTGTGGCTATTGGGCAATTGTCGGCTGTTTCCGTTAAGCAGCGTGGCTATGTAAGTATCCAACCATTCGGCAATCCTCGACAGTTTCCGTAAGGAGCGTGGCTATCCACAATTTGGCAATTCTCGACTGTTTCCGTAAAGCAGTGTGGCTATTGGGCAATTCTCGGCTGTTTCCGTAAAGCAGTGTGGCTATTGAGCAATTCTCGGCTGTTTCCGTAAAGCAGTGTGGCTATTGGGCAATTCTCGGCTGTTTCCGTAAAGCAGTGTGGCTATTGGGCAATTCTCGGCTGTTTCCGTAAAGCAGTGTGGCTATTGGGCAAGTCTCGACTGTTTCCGTAAAGCAGCTTGGCTATGTAGCGTGTTAACTCTATGACGTCTGCTTTAACCAATCAAATTTCTACCCTCTCCAGCGCTGACATTTTGTGACGCGGTGTTTATCAGGTTAGGTCAAAAGGTAAATTTGACGAACGTTCAAGAGGGCTGTCGTCAGACCCTTACTGGAGTGCCTATAAAAAAAGAAACGAAAGTTTGGTCTGACTTGCAATTCTAGTTACCTAATCGCACGATAAGATAACTATATTTGGCCATAGTTCTTATAATTGTGGTGACAATAAGGCCAAACTTGTTCGAGGTAATTTTTTGTTCATATTACTGCAGACGAGACCCCTTTAAAATTTTTGTATCTTTTTTAGGTTAGAAAGTGTGTATTTCGGATGTTTTCCACTGTGCCCAAATAAACTGGTTTATCCAGAAATATTTCCAGGTAATTTCATTTACATTTTTGTCTTGATATTTCCCAAATGGTGCAGAAAAGTAGGACGTAAAACTCCATTCATTTCATTTCATTTGTCTTGATATTTGAAAGTTAACCTTAATCCAAAACTAGCTGTCCTGATGAGGATTGTGTATCAGAAACACATGTTGGTAGTATGAGATGAGCTCTAATCAATTAGCTAACAGTAAGTCTCATTTATAAACTAGCTGTCCTGATGAGGATTGTGTATCAGAAACATGTCAGCAGTATGAGATGAGCTCTACTAAACTTCCATTTCTAAAACTAGCTGTCCTGATGAGGATTGTGTATCAGAAACATGAGAGTAGTATGAGATGAGGTTTAGTCAATTAGTAAACATTAAGTCATAAGCTTATATTAGAAAGTTAACCTCCATTTCTAAAACTAGCTGTCCTGATGAGGATTGTGTATCAGAAACACTCGTCGACAGCATCGGCATATCTTCTAAATATCTCAATTTCCAAGCGAACTGTCCTGATGAGGATTGTATACC